GCTGGTAACTTGGCAAGATCAAGTCAGGGCAGGCAGATTTCTTACCTTGGGATGCTGCGTATATCTGGCGATTTGTCACACAACGAGGCGAAAAATAATAAAAACGCAGGCACTAATTTACAAAAAATTGTTTAAGGCAAAGAAACAAACAAATATCAACATCTGAAGTACTGGGAACCCCAGAGCTACAAATACTGAATTATTAGCTGCAAAGTCATAATTCAGTCTTGCAGCTTTGCACTTGGCAACTTTTTCAGATGCCTTGCATTATCTGAAAGTGTACCTGCTGTTGGTCCGGGCGCTCCATAGAGATTTACGTTTTAGCAGTGCTTCCGACAGAGGCACTTAGCAAGGCTTCAGCGATTTTAAGATGTCATAGGCATGTGCTGAACATCACCATTTCGTCCCATAACGGGGTATTAAAAATCACACGATTCAAAGTTGAAGCAGTGAAACAGGTTTGTTCTCCCGATATGCACTTATGAATGGTAACTGTCAGGCACTGAATTACAGGAAATTATACAAAACACCATTCGATACCTCGCTGGTCTCAGTTGGGCTTGAACAGATAACAGTATGGCTCTTGCGAACACTGCAAAAGAGAAAGGACATTGACTTGACGGGTTTATAATCAACAAAGATTCATCTACTATTAGATGTAGAACTCAAACACACTTCCGTCGTCACTGCACACTCCTTATTAAGGATTTCAACACAAAAGTTCATCTACAGTAAAGTCGTCGAAAGATGTATAAAACTGGCAATCTAATCAGGGCATAGACGGATCCTGGGCGGTTACTTGGGAGAAGGGCGATTTGAACGGTTTTTGTTCCCCTTCCCTTCCTCCCCCCTCCCCTTCCCTTCCCACCTTCCCTCCTCGCCCTTCAACTCTCCACTCGTCACAATACCGGAAGTCCAATCTTCCCCTCGACCACCACGCTTCTGCCCGCTCGGTCATCCCCCTATATCCTTCCCCCTTGAAGGTCCCGCTGCACCCCTCCCCCTTCTCGTCCTACTCTTTACTCGACCATGAACTACAGTAACGATCGGAGAGGAGAGGAGGGGAGACCCCTGGGAGAGGGGTGGGGCGACACAGGGTATCGGAGAGAGTTTTCTACAGTAAAAAAACTACTATCTGAGCCGTTGGAGGGGGGGGGGGCAAAAGCCCCTCGCACCCTCCCTGGATTCGCCAGTGAATCAGGGATCAAAGAATAGTGGCAGTGAATTCTGTATGTTGTTTGCATGTAATAACAAATTGGAAGGGCCGCGTCCATTGTCACATTTCCGAAAACAGGACAAGATTAGTGAGAAAACGAAAATACTGGAGTCCCTGGGGAGCTTAAGGCTCTTGTGGGAATATACTCTAAAATTAATGCTCCGAAAGAGAAAAGGAAAATAGCGAGTACTTATGAGTCTAAAGTGACCTATAAACAGATGGGATGGCTTACCGAGCGGAGTTTCCCTGTGAAGGGAAAAATGTGGCAATCTTTGGCCGAAAATAAGAGATAGTGCTTGTGGTGAAGCGAAATCGGTGGTCAGAGAATACTTGGAGCTTTATGAAAGGCAAAGCGCTTTATCAGACTGAGCGATAGTGAGGTTTTGATGTGGCTCACGTAAAATGAAGATGAGTGAAAATGCAGTTTAGCAGACGGAATATGTCGCTCGTTTCATCGATAGCTACTGGACAGCGAGTGGCAGTCACAAAGCTGAGATAACGTTCGTTTGAGATATATCTGAACCGATATTAATCTTAACTAATGGGCATGGCAGATAAAAGATGATGACGGAGAGTCGGGTGGAGTATTGCTGCAGCGGGCGTGTGATTTAAGCTGGAGAAACCACTAATCTGCGGGAAAGGACAACGTGGATGCGCGAACTGGCCCGTATTCTTTATCTTGCATTTCAGTAAACGTCCAAAATCTTCTTAGCATAGGGCGATATGTATTCGAGCCGAGCATAGAACTCGTTGTTGTAATAGCGAAGGCATTGGAGTTAAAAAGTCCCTTGCTGAGTTCGAATACATCTGTCATCAAGTCTACTTGCATGGTCATTTCGAGCGATTTTATTGTATTTCAGAATAACATCTATTTATTGCATTCCAGAGCATCAGAGGATTCGCACATTCCTGTTTCCAGTACGCCATATCAAAACAGCGCCCACTTTATCTGAGCACAAAGAATACTATATTAAAGCGATATGATGGTCGTTTCAAGGATATCTTCGCAGAAATCTATGAGAAGTACGTGCTACCTCA